TAGCCTTGCACTTCAAGTGGACTAGCACCTGGTTGAGTGTACATTTTAGTGTCCCCTGTTTAATAGTTGCAGTACTGATGCTAGTGCTACTCCTGTCAGATACTAGACGGGATTATACTCAAGCTCTACTATTGGGACATCTCTCCACATTTTGTAACTGTATAGTTACTTTGTAGCTACAGCCAGCTTGATTTTTTTTTTAGGCGTATAATAGAATTTGTTTAATTTCAAGGTGATCATTGTATCCATCCCTCAGATAAGATTAGCCACCCGCATTAATTTTATCTTACCTCTAGTTTTTTGATGCCGGACTGCTCCAAATGCTTTTGTGACAATTTTTGAGCTTCTCTAGCTCCCCTCTAGGATTCATATATATTTTGTCTTCTGAGTGTTTGTTCATTTTGTATATTTGTAATCAATAAAGTATGTTTTTTATTCTATTTAGACCATTTATTAAGATATCCATACCATGATATCCATGCAGGTCTCTTTGTGCAATAACTACCCGATGCTAAGCTTACTGTCTCAGAACAAGTTTTCTCGTGTATTTCTGTTTTTCCTTCTATTTGATACCAACATACAATTCCTTTATCGTATATCCATGCAGGTTGAATTGGTATTTTATTTAACTTCATTTATTCTCCCAGCACCATGATACCGCTTCTAGAACATTAACACCGTAAGGGCAGACATAATCACCATCGTTTAACAAACAATTTTCTATATTAAGCATGTACTCTTCAGTTATTACTCCCACTAGGATTTTATCATTTTGCTTGTTATCCATTTTTATCCAATTAGAATTCACTATTTTACCCAAATCAAATACTTAAATCTGTTGTTATTAACTCCTCTAATAGGGAGAAAAATAGCAAAAGCACAATTTTTTATTGTGTCTTCCAGACATCCTAACCATTGTGTATGCCAGAAAGCTCTATAGTAAAAACTTAATTTAGGCACTTCGAGAGGCACTTCATAAGGCCATTAATGGTTAAAAAGAATATTATATTTTTGCATTAGTATTGATGTCCATTTGTAAAGCTATACATGCTAAGACTAAAGAGGTATCACTTGGAATCTTTTCCATTCCTACACTGATATTATACTTTTTGTTAATGAGATTATTAATAATGGAAATATCTGTCCTATGATTGTTGACAACTGTTTGCATTTGTATCTTTGATAATAACAACGAAGCATCCTGTGATTTGCTACCTGCGGCCGCTAGTGTACTCATTCTAGATGCTAATGATTCTATATTTACTCCATTTATCATACTTGCTCCTACACCTAAACCACCTAATACTGTATTATACCATTCACATTTTCTTTGTGTATTCACGGGTCTCGAGAAAGTGGTGTCTTGTTTTAACCAATAATAGAAATCTTTTTGTATTCCTACTGTATATTCCTGACATTGCGGGAATGTACGTGTTATGTCCCAGTCTGACATGTTCAATGAATATGTGTATATACTAAATGAAGCCCCAAATAAAGCTTTGTGATCATCATCTTTTTATATTTTAATGGGATCTTTCCCCTCCTGTTCTACAAAATTACAAGCATGTGTTATTCTTTGTTCTGGAGCCCAGTTATCACGAAATGTCATTACTGTAAATGCATATGAAAGCGAAACAGTGTGTCCATTCCTATTTATTAAATGTCTCATAACAAAAATATGTGTCCATAACCATGTAGGTTTTCTAATTTTTGGATACCAAGGCCACATAGTAATTTGGCCTGCACATTTAGCTGGGTTTTGATAAGTAAATGAGCTGTCTAGTGTTTGCTCGAGTACTTTTACTTTAGCATTTGTGTATGGATTTACAAGTGTATCTATTAAGTACAAATAACAATGTAATCCGTCATTGTTAATATTTCTTACATTAAACAAAGTAAGGGTAAGGGTGTTGTCTATACCAGTAAGTACCACAAACCTACTCTTAGTATTATTTTGCATTATATATGTCAAATCCTTTCGTCCGTCAACTGATTGATATGTCATACATGGTTCTTGGTTATAATGAAATATGAGCGTACCAGATATTGCATCCTCAGATGTGTCTGCATTGATGCATCCACAATAATCAACATCAGGAGCCTTACAATATCTCACCTTACACTCATATGGAAAAGCTGTGCATTTAGCAAAGGTATCTCTACTTTCACAATCTAGAGTACCTGTACCTTGGGCATTGATTGTACCTAACATCATCATGATTAATAACAGTATTATGCTGTGCAACTGTATACAGTTTACATTAACCAGAAAACACAATTGGTTTGATTTAGTCCATGAAGTAATGTCCTCTCCAATAGAAAGTTTGGGTAATGGTATGGAGACCCCTGCTGTACATGCATGAGTTTTTCTCTGAAATACAAATGGTCTGGTCCACTAAACTGGGGGATTTTAGAAGGTTCCAGAGGGCTAGAAACACTGTTTGCTGTAGCTGAATCCAGGACCAGCAGAGAATTAGAGAAATGGCGACCAAGGGACACTAAGAGACTCTGTAACCCGTGACATCCCCCACCCCCCTTAACCCACTTTAGCATAGCTATGGGTTAACAATCAGGGTCTAAATTGCAGCTGTCCGCAAGCTTGTTGGGAATCTGTAGTCTAAATGGCCCCATGCAATTCCACCTTCCATCACAGAGAGAGTGAATGGGGATCTACAGTGAGGGCTGCCATTGAGCAGCTGTTAGTCTCTCATTGGCATAAGAGCACCTCACCAATGACACTGTCACTACTGCACCATCAGGGTGTGTGTGTGTGTGTGTGTGTGTGTCTGTCACACTCAATACATGTCTGACAGTCTGTGAATGTGTGAATATGTCTGACAATATGCATTAATGTGTTTCTGAGAAAGTGAGCATTGTGTGGCATTGAATATCACTTTTGAATGTGTGGCATTGAATATCACTTTTGTTTTTCTGAAATATGTTTCAGTGTGTGCATCTGGAATATTTGTGTATTTGTGTGTGTGCATAAGAGTGTGTATTTATGTGTATGTATCATTATGTATATATGTGTGCATGTATTATTGTGCGTGCCTAGAAAAGAAACATGGCTTCAAAGAGGATAATATGTTATGGGCTACGTCATGGAAATGTGACAACATATATAATAATCATAGAATACATATACATTTATCACAACACATTAAATGGAAAAAAGGTTTTATTTAGGCACATAGAAGCAAAAAATATATTTAAACATTACTTTCCAGGACTCCCAAAATATTCTGATTCTGTTAGTGAATGTGGTTAAGGACACAGCTTCAGAAACTTGTCTTGCACACACACAATGTTTGTATTTTTGCTTGTGTGTTCAGCTGTGATTTCCATCTTTTTTATTTATTGCACCAACATATAATATACTGGGTTTTTTTAAGGACAAAAGGGCTTTAATTGCATGTGTTATATACATATACAAATTCTAATTTATAATAACAAAATACAAACAAATGCTAAAAAAACAAAAACAAAACAAAAAAAATACTTTTTTTTTACAGTTTTGGCAACAATAATTAGTGCAGCTTAAGAAAATACATTTTTAATATATGCATTTGTCCTGATTACAGAGTTCTTCATACAACTAGGATTTCAGTAAATTAGTGGTAGTAAAAAAAAAACAAAAAAAACAACAAGGCGTTAAATATGACTTTAACCCCTTAAGACCAGAACGGCGTACTATTACGTCCTATTTTAGGCGGCTCTAAATGCCACCGGGCGTAATAGTATGCCCCCCCATGTAATAGAGCCCCCCCACGGCAAATCTTCCTCCTGGCAGCCCCCCCGGCCATGTGAGAGTGAGGTCCTTGCGAGGACCTCACAATCACATGGCCGGGATAGCTAGCTGCTGCATTGCCAGCATGTGGACTGCCTGTAATTACAGGTAGTCCCCCTGCTGGCTGGAAATAAAATCAAATAAAAGTTAAAAAGTGTGAAAAAAATATATATATATACTTAGATCTAAGTATAAATATATTTTTTTTACACTTTTTAACTTTTAGATATATATATGATCTAAGTATATATATACACATATACATACACACTCATACACTGTCTAGGTGTATTTTACTATTAACATATATATACTTATTTATATATTAATATCAAGTTACACGTAAACTGATATTGATTAAATATATATAATTATTGTTATATATATATTTATATATAATATAAAAAAAAATATGTAAATACGTTAAAAAAATAAAATTTTAAAAATAAATAGATGTGTGTTATTTCGTTCTAACTGTATTGAGATATTAATATATATATATATATATATATATTTATATCAAAATACACTTAGAACGAAATAATATATATATCTATATACATAAATATATACGTATGTATCACTATATATATACCTATATATAAATACAAATATTTTTAAAAAATTATATATATACACATATATATTCACATATGTATATATATATATACATATATTAATTCTACATATATATTTATGTAATATTTTTACATAATTAGGTATCTTAATTAATTACAATTAGCGGGACCTGCCTAACAACCCATGCCGAAAGTAAAGGGAATTTAATTTGCTAGCACTACATTTAACCCTTTACTTTCCAAGACACCATAAAACCTGTACATGGGGGGTACTGTTCTACTCGGGAGACTTCGCTGAACACAAATATTAGTGTATTTTTCACGCACAAACAGCACTTATATTATTACAATATTATTGCTGCGATATTTTTTACTGTTTTGAAACACAAATATTTGTGTTCAGCGAAGTATCCCGAGTACAACAGTACCCCTCATGTACAGGTTTTATGGTGTTTTCAAAAGTTACAGCATCAAAATATAAGGTTTGTGTTTCACTTTTTTCACGTTAAAATTCGCCAGATTTAGTAGCCACTTAGTCACAAACACTGGCCAAAATTGGCGTTTTTTGCATTTTTCACACACAAACAAATACTAACGCTAACTTTGGCCAGTATTTGTGACCAAATGGCTACTATAAAAGACTGGACATACCCCATTTGCAATACCTTGGGTTGTCTACTATTGCAAATGGTATGCCATTATGGGTGTAAATTTCATTCCTGGGCTACTATACAGTCTCAAAGGCAACATAACCAATCTGGCAAATTTCAATTTCAAATGTAACGTGCTATATTTGACCCTGTAACTTCCCAAAACACCATAAAACCTGTACATAGCGGGTACTGTTTTACACGTGAGACTTTGCTGAAAACAAATATGTGTATTTTATTGCAGTAAAAGCAAACAGTATTATGACATTGACAGTTAAAATGTCATGTAGAACTAAAAAAATAAAACAAATTCTTATTTTCTCCCATTTTTTTTTCATATTAAATTATGTTTCATAGCTAAATATTTGATATTAAATGAAAGCCCTGTTTCCTCTGAATAAAATGATATATAATAAGGGTGGGTGTATTTAATATGAAAGAGGTGAATTACGGTTGGACAGACATGTAGCGCAAATGCCAGGTTTTGTTTACATTTTGTTTCGTTCACAACGTGTACATTTGGCTCCGTCCATAACCCCTTAAGGACCGAGGACGGTTCAGGACCTTCATCGGCATTTTTGCCTTGCCGACCGATGACGGCCCTGAACCGTCCTAACGGTCCAATGTACTTACCTGATCGCCGTCGTTCCCCCGGCGGCGATCAGCGTTGCTCCCAGTGTGGGGAGACTGTCTGCAGCCCAGACAGTCTCTCCACACCGTATTAGGACCCCTGTGGGCATGTGATCGCTCAACACAGCGATCACATGGTCACCAGGGCCGGATTAACATAGGGGCTGATGGAGCTGCAGCTCCAGGCCCAGGCCCATGGAATAGGCCCTTTGATTTAAAAAAAATATATATATATATTATTTTTTACATTTTTTTTTTCACACACTTCTCTTAGGGATTCCACCTGGCTTTTATTTTATTGGCACAGCCAGTATTTGAGGCTGCCTGGCTGGTGCCAATATTGCAGTGATACTGGCAATATAAATGCTGGTATTTTTCTCAGTATAAATGGAAATTACTATGCAATACCAGCACTGGCCAGTAGGGGTCGCTGTATGTGGAGACAGGCAGGGATAGGAAGTTCCAGCATATCCCTCCCTGCCTATCTATACTCACTGATCTGCAGGGATGCAGCTACAGAGAGTCCAGACAGCAACTCCCACCCTGCTTACAGCTCAGGGAAGTAAGGGATGGGGGAAAGGCAGCAGGGAGACATGGGGACACTGAGACACTAAGGGACATTGGGAGACATTATGACACAGACACATGGGGACACAGTGTCCCCATGTCTCCCATCCAGTGTCCCTGGTGTCTCAGTGCCCCCTAGTCTCCCAGTGACCCCTAGTCTCCCAGTGCCCCCAGTCTGCCAGTGTCTCATTGTCCCCATGTCTCCTAGTGCCTCCATGTCTCTCAGTGCCTCAAGTGTCACAATGTCCCCAAACTAGTGTCCCTAGTGTCTGTGGCCCTGGTGTCTCAGTGTCCCCATGTCTCCCAGTACCCCTATGTCTCAATGTCCCCATGTGCCCCAGCCAGTGTTTCTAGTATCTTTGTCCCTGGTGTCTGTGTCTTCAAGTGTCCCCTATTTTCCCATTGTGCCCATGTGTCCCAGCCAGAGTCCCCTAGTCTCCCAGTGTCACTGGTGTCTCCGTGTCCCTAGGTTTACCTGTGTCCCCAGGTCTCCTCGTCTTCCTAGTGTCCTAGTGACATGGGAACCCTGGGATACATGGGGACACAGGGAGACATAGGGCATTGAGACACTGATACATAGGATCACTGGGAGACCTGGGGACACGACACTAAGGGACACTAGGGACACTGGGAGACATGGGGCACTGAGACACTGATACATAGGAACACTGAGACCTGGAGTAATCGACACATGGGGGCACTGAGTCATGAGGGCACTGGGAGACATGGGGGCACTGGGAGGAATCCATATTTACAGCAGATTTAAACTAAGTAGTTTTTTGGTGATTTTACAGCATTTTCTCTTATGTCACTCCTTGTGATTTACATCATGTGATGTCACCCACACATAAATTAGTAAGGCCGGTATGTTTTTCCAAGAAAGGTGGCAACCCTAACTACTTTTCACATACTCTTACTTAAGTATGGAAACGTAAGAGGGATGTATGGGAACAAAACTTGTGTGGACTGGCTGACAATGAATATAGTTAAAGGGACACTATAGTCACCAGAACAACTACAGCTTATTGAATTTGTTCTGGTGAGTAGAATCATTACCATCAGACGTTTTGCTGTAAGCATGGTCTTTTCAGAGAAAATGCTGTGTTTACATTACATCCTAGTGATAACTTCACTGGCCACTCCTCAGATAGCTGTTAGAGATCCTTCCTGGGTCATGGCTGCCTAAAATGCATCCAAACATTCAGTGTCTCCTCCCTCTGCATGCAGACACTGAACTTTCTCATAGAGATTCATTAATTAAATTCATCTATATAAGGAGATGCTGATTGGCCAGGGCTGTGTTTGAATCATGCTGGCTCTGACCCTGATCTGCCTCTTTGTCAGTCTCAGCCAATCCTATGGGGAAGCACTGTGATTGGATCAGGCCACCACTTCTAATGATGTCAGCAGACTGCTTGTTTTTATGAGTCTAACAGCATGCAGAGTTACAGCTTCAGGCTTGAATATAGTAGGATTTTGCTATATTTATGGAGGCATGAGGGGCCCAGGGGGGCTAGATGGTGGTGTTAACACTATAGGGTCATGAATTCATGTTTGTGTTCCTGACCCTATAGTGATCCTTTAAGGTAATGCTGACTTTGGTCTCTCTAACACTGTGACATGTTCCCTTTCTTCTACACTCACTACATACAGCTTTTCTCTGTCCCAGACCATATACCAGGACCTTCTGCCTGCTAGTAAGAAGGTAAGGAGACAAGTGGACCAGCCAGTGCTAGGGGACAGTCCTTAGAAAGCATTGAGTGAGCGCATCATTAGATGCATTTATGCCAAGCTCAGGGTGCTGTCTGCATAGTATGCCCTTAGTTGGCCAGCTGCATGATTGGCAGGCAGCCTGACATGCATTCATGCCAGGCTGGCCTTCTAATTCTTTGAGCAGACATGTCCTCTTTTTGGGCATGTTCGCCCCTTTTGGCAGGTTATGTGATTTGTGTCAGTGGCACACCCTTTTACCATGCCCATTGACTTCCTGCTTGACTGGACACTGCTGTTAGGGGTTATGGATTTACTTGAAAGATGAAAACATAAATTAGAGAGAGATTAGCCTAGGGTATGTGTTTTCATATAGCTGCTGTTTTCTTTTTCTCCAGCACCATCTCCATCAGATACATGATGCTTGGGAGTGTTTTACTGTTTTTGGTCGATATGATTCTGTAATTAGGCCCATCATAATTGTCAGCACCAGGCCCACTGGGCTCTTAGCTTATAAGTATATCCTAAACAATATACAAACAATAAATAATATAAAAAGCAATAGTACTTAGCTTATAAAGATGTATGACAGCCTCCCTAGGTCGTTACCCAAACAAGCGACCTATATCATATATAGTATAAACCAAAACAAAGAAGATTCGGGATATGGCTGTGTAAATCTACAGAGAAAACATAAAACAAAACAGTGTGATATTGTTATGAAACACAATATTTCATGCGCAGTAATCTTGTGCACTCACAGGATGTAGATAGTAAAAGCGCTCTTAGGGTGCCTTCCCCAATAAAATGGGGGGCTAGCTGGTATTCCTTATCACCTCTGGATCCTTGTTCCACCAAAAGACATCCACAGGTAGGGTTCAGTAATAAAAAGATTTATTTAGATAAAAAGTGTAGTCACCATTTCAGCATAGGATATAGATAACAGAAAAGTTGTCCTACGCGTTTCGTTCTATAAGAACTTCCTCAGGGACCACAATTAAAAACAATAACAATGTATCAATGTACAATACATGAACATATCCTATACAAATCCCCCCTCCCTGTGTCCTTAAATAGGGCTAATCCCTAAAGTCTATTGGTGGATCCAGTAGGTGTGTAAACCCTCCTTGATTCTGATTGGAGGAAAGATCTTCCTGTGGCAGCTGTTTTTCGTTCATCCATTTTCATAATTTAAAATTCGCGCCTTTTTCGGCAAATACCGGAAGTGGTCATAATTTCCCGAAACCGGAAGTGACGTCGCGGGAATGTCCGCGTTCCACATGCGTTCCACCAGTAACGTCTCCATGGCAACCAGACGCGATCAAGTCATTCAGAGGTCAAATGAAACCAGGACAAATAAAAAGCCCCATTCTGCTAGAGAGAAAACTGTTAAACATGTATAATATATTCAACCATTATTTATATATATATATCTGTTGGATATCACCCTCCTCATTAATCCTATCACACAAAATAGTGTTAATCTCCATATTATACCCAGTGATCATAATACCTCAATATATTATAAGCCAAAGGCTTCATATTATAAAGTGATCATATTTCTTATGTATATTATTTGAGGTTTTTTTTTTTTTTATATATAACTTTATACATTGTTAATAAAAATGGACACCATAATCAATTCATCACCATCTCAGTTAATCTTCAATTTATCGTATTATTATTTGTGCTCCCCATAGAAATCTTTGGAACAACCTATTAAACACATTAAGGTAGTCCATTATTATGATTACAAAAAGGAATAGTGAATTGTAGCTTAGGAAATAAAGTGCATAAAATGACTACTTCCCATACAAACTTTATTTAGTGAATCTACCACATTTAATTTATGCCAGCTTTAAAGATCCTTAGAGCAAACCCATTATTTATATTAGAATGATCAATTATTATATTTTTATTATAGTTTTTTGTGATTTTTGGTCATATAAGACAATAGATCATAACATATAAAAATAAAAAGAAATAAAATAAAAAATATACAATAACTGTTTGACATTTGATATATATATAAAACCTCTCTCTAAATGGGGATTAGCTTTCAACTGTAGAAAAAACCCAAATTAAAGACAAACACACGTACCCTTACTATCTGTTCTGAAGCTTTTAGGCCATATTAATCCAAAAAACAAATTAAATCAATATCTATATTGAGACCCTTAGGTGAGAGAGTTTGTAATTTATGTATCCAGAACGTCTCCCTTTGGGCTAGTCTTTGAACTCTATTGCCCCCACGCCAAAAGGGGTGGACTCGTTCAATTCCCCAACATCTAAAGTC